TTTTGTTCCATGTGCTGTAAATATATCTTGCTACTTTTCATTTGATGATGTGATATTTTTGTTAAGCACTTTGGTAACAGTTTCTGCTTTAAATGTGCTCGATAAATAAATCTGACTTGACTTATTTATCCTGATTGTTTTTATTTATCCTGATTCATTAATTTAAAAACATTTAGAGAAAACTAAATAAAACCAATTTAAATTTCAGGTAGTTTTTGTTTTTGTTTGTTTTTCACCTCTGAAAGAAATAAAATGTGTTCAGAAGTGTGTGGGGTCCTGGACTGGACCAGAGGTTCTGAGGTTCTGTTGGGCCTGCAGGGGGCTCTGTTGTCTTTGGTTTCCCTCTCCTGGGGGGTCTGATGGATGAGTCGGCCTCCAACAGGCTCAGCTCTGATTTGTTGTTCATTTAAATTTTCTGTAAATAACAAACAAAAAACATCTGACGTTTTGTTTGTCCCCTCCTGCAGCGAGGCGGGGGACACGGGGACAGGTCTCCGGTCCATCACAGGGACACACGAGTCAAACATGTGACCTTCTTGCTGTGAGACCAGCTCCAGCCGCTGCCCCGTCTTCAGGACCAGAACCTTCTCCGATGTTCTGAATGATGGTGCCGTTTGTCAAACTCCAGGAGTTCTTTTCGCTGCTCGGCCCGACGGGTCGACTGTTCAGAACCGTTTGAGTCGTGTTTACCGGGAACTCTGCAGGTTTTTCAGTGTGGAACTACCGGAGTGACGGCTCGGTGCTCGTTTATTTTAATGATGCGACCTCTGAACCACCGTCCGACCCGAGCTGGGCCACAGTGACCACTAACGAGCTTTCAGAACCGCCAGCGGGTTCTGTTGGAGCCCGGTTACATCACCATGGCAACAGAGACTAGACCTGCTCTGGACCGGTTCAGAGTTGAAACAGAACCATTAAATCAGACTGAACCCGTCCTCGTCCAGGTCCATCAGGATCCTCTGACCGTCTCACAGCCGTTTGTTGGACTTTTGTCCCGGTCCTCCTGACAGAACCGGTCTAACTGGGTCGGGTTTGTTGCCTCTTCAGCTCCACTCAGATTCTTTCTGGGACTGAGACCAGGACTTTGTGGTGGACAACATGGACCCTGTGCCGAGGGACCTTGTCCATTTGAAGACAAGCTTTAACTTCCTGTCTTATGTCTTCAGATGTCTTCAAAGTTCTTTCCTCGTGGTCCATTTTGGAAGGTAAGACACATCATGCTGCTGCCGCCACCGTGCTGCAGTTAGGACGGTGTCCTCAGCTCTGTCCTCCAAACATAACGATGGACACTGTGGACAAACTGTTCAACTTTACTCGTCAGACCACAGGACATGTCTCCAAACAGTAAGGTCCTTGTCCCTGTGTGGACAAACTAATCGGTCTTTTTTATGTTGCTTTGGGAGTAACGTCTTCGTCCTCTCTGGAGGTCCATTCAGTCCAGGACTCGTCTCACGGTGGACACAGACTCTGTGACCAGCTTCAGCACATCTTCACAAGATCTGCAGCTTTGGTTCTGGAGCCGAGTTCAGTCCAAAACACAGAACCCGTCTATGTCCTGGGTGGTCCTGTGGTATTTATGTGTCCAGATGTTTGAACAGAAGAACTTTGAGTCTTTGTGAAACTGGACCCAAGGACGAACCAGAGTTCTGGACGTGGACGCTTCTCTTCATGACCTCTTGCCTGATTTTTTTCCCCATGATGCACCAAAAGGAGCAGCGTGTTTGAGGTGTACCTTAAAATGCATCCACAGGTGAGTGTCCAGGTAATATAATAGTTTGTATTTGTAATTATTTCTATCTGAACATGTTTTTTGTCTTTCCTCCTGTAGAAAGTTCACCTGGACCTGTCATTCTGTCTGTTTCTACTTCCTGTCCTCTCTGTTTCTACTTCCTGTCCTCTCTGTTTCTACTTCCTGTCCTCTCAGACCCAGCTGGTCGAAGCAGACGGCCTCTCGTCCTGAGTCTGGTTCTGCTGGAGGTTTGTTCCTGCTAAAGGGAGTTTTTCCTTCCCACTGTCTCCTTTGTGCTTGCTCAGGATGGGAGACTAGGGCAAAGTGAAGATTCAACACGATCTGCTTCTTCCTTAGATAGAGAACTTTTACTGACTGTCTTTTATAAAGTCTGTGGATGTTTCTGTTCAGAGTCCTGAGACGACCTGTTTTCACTTGGAGCTACAGAAATCAACTGAATTAATTTAGGTTATATTAGAATGGTTATTATGGTTGTAAGATTCCACTATTATTATTATTACAAACTGGATTCCAAAAAAGTTGGGACACTAAACAAACTGTGAATAAAAACTGAATGCAATGATGTGGAGATGGCAAATGTCAATATTTTATTCATAATATAACATAGATGACAGATCAAAAGTTTAATCTGAGTAAATGTAACATTTTAAAGGAAAAATATGTTGATTCAAAATTTCACAGTGTCAACAAATCCCAAAAAAGTTGGGACAAGTAGCAATAAGTGGCTGGAAAAAGGAAATTGAGCATATAACGAACAGCTGGAAGACCAATTAACACTAATTAGGTCAATTGACAACATGATTGGGTATAAAAAGAGCTTCTCAGAGTGTCAGTGTCTCTCAGAAGCCAAGATGGTAAGAGGATCACCAATTCCACCATTGTTGTGCAGAAAGATAGTGCAGCAATACCAGAATGGTGTTACCCAGCGTAAAATAGCAAAGACTTTTAAGTTATCATCATCAACCGTGCATAACATCATCAAAAGATTCAGAGAATCTGGAACAATCGCTGTGCGTAAGGGTCAAGGCCGTAAAACTCTACTGGATGCTCGTGATCTCCGGGCCCTTAAACGTCACTGCACCTCAAACAGGAATGCCACTGTCAAGGAAATAACAGAATGGGCTCAGGAATACTTCCAGAAAGCATTGTCAGTGAACACAATCCACCGTGCCATCCGCCGTTGCCAGCTGAAACTCTACAGTGCAAAGAGGAAGCCATTTCTAAGCAAGCTCCACAAGCTCAGACGTTTGCACTGGGCCAGGGGTCATTTAAAATGGAGTGTGGCAAAATGGAAGACTGTTCTGTGGTCAGATGAGTCACGATTTGAAGTTCTTTATGGAACACTGGGACGCCATGTCATCCGGACCAGGGAGGACAAGGATAGCCCAAGTTGTTATCAACGCTCCGTTCAGAAGCCTGCATCACTGATGGTATGGGGTTGCATGAGCGCTTGTGGCATGGGCAGCTTGCATGTCTGGAAAGGCACCATTAATGCAGAGAACTATGTTCAGGTTCTAGAACAACATATGCTCCCATCTAGACGTCATCTCTTTCAGGGAAGACCCTGCATTTTTCAACACCATAATGCCAGACCACATTCTGCAGCAATCACAACATCATGGCTACGTAGGAGAAGGATCCGGGTACTGAAATGGCCAGCCTGCAGTCCAGATCTTTCACCTATAGAGAACATTTGGTGCATCATAAAGAGGAAGGTGGACAAAGAAGGCCCAAGACGATTGAACAGTTAGAGGCCTGTATTAGACATGAATGGGAGAGCATTCCTATTTCTAAACTGGAGAAACTGGTCTCCTCTGTCCCCAGACGTCTGTTGAGTGTTGGAAGAAGAAGGGGGGATGCCACACAGTGGGAAAAATGGACTTGTCCCAACTTTTTTGGATTTGTTGACGCCATGAAATTTGGAAACAACAGATTTTTCCCTTAAAATGAAACATTCTCTCAGTTTAAACTTTTGATCTGTGATTTGTGTTCTATTCTGAATAAAATATTAGATGTTGGCACCTCCACATCATTGCATTCACTTTTTATTCACAATTTGTGTCCCAACATTTTTGGAATCTGGTTTGTAGATTTTTGTGATATCAAATGTAATAAGTTTATAATAAGATGTTTATCCCAGTACTGTGTTTCTGGAGCACTTAAAAGGCAATAAATCGTCAGAGATTTCAATAAGGAACAAATTAAGAAGATTATTTCCAAATATTTATCTTTTCCTCTCCTCCAAAATCAAAGAAATGCAGTTCAAAATTATAAACAAAATTTATCCAACCAATGATTTTCTGAGACACGGGTTTAAAATGGATGTTTTATATAAATGTTTTTTCTGTGAGAACGTACCTGAGGATTTGAATCATGTTGTTCACACGTGACATCATACAACCCTTTTGACGAGATCTCCACCAGTTTCATGGGACACATTTAACAGATTTAACCATCCAAGAGATTAAATTAGGTGTTTTTATTAATGATCATAACATTGACTACGGTATAAATAATGTTCTGCTGTACATCACATACACAAATGTCGCTTCATTAAAACCATCTCTAACTTTATACAGTGGAAGAACGAGTGACATTTGTTTTAGACGTCTTCGTGTTTGGTGAAGTTAAAAAATGTTTCCAAGTTGACGTCTTCTTTGAAAACATTTCATGTTTAACGTGTGTCCTGGACTTATTTGTTTGCCAGTTGTAACTTTGTAAAGACGTAGTGTGAACACAAAGTATATATTATGGCGCCTTTTTTGATGTTTGTATACGTTTAAAAATTAAATTAAAAATAAAAAAACTCTGTTGCACGCGCGCTGTGAGTGACGTCCAGAGCGCATGCACATAAAAACGGCAGCGGCGGACGGAGGAGGTGCCGGTCCGAGTTTATTCATCGTGTCGGCAGCAGAGAGACGCGGTTCATTCGTGGCTCCCAAAACCACAAGGCGGCCATGTTTGTTCATAACTTTATTATTAGGAACGCACTCGACAAAATGAGAATGGTGAAAAAAAAACTACTCCCTGCAGCAAAAAAACAAACAAATGTGTTTTCTAGGGTCACATGTGCCCCCCTGGCATTGTCCCGGGCACCCCCAGGGGGGCGCGCCCCACTATTTGAGAAGGACTGGTTCAACCAGACTGATTTAAGGACAGATTAGTTTCCATGTGTGCATCCATTTAGAGTTAATGTCTACAATTTGTTTCTTATTTCTGTCAGTTTGGTTTGTGC